CAGATGTGGGACGTACTGCTGACTGTGCCGAACCACTGCGCTTTAGCCTCTGTAGATGTTGTAGTTGCAAAAAAAATCATGCTTTTCCTTTAGCGATAGGCCAGCCCGACTTGGCTAAGCGGCTAAAACGGAAGGGGTTTTGGTTCCGTTTGCACCAATCGTTGCTTCCGATCGTTCACACGCCTTCGAGATTGACAATGTGGTCATGCGGCCTGTTACATCTGAACGCCTGGGACCAGGCGATCCTATACATGCTCTCCACAGCGGGGCAACATGTAGCAAGGGTGCATGACCCTGTCTTTGCAGCATTGCGCAGCTCACTTGTCGTCAGGTGCTGAAGAACGTGCCCGAGTGGATTCGAGAGGAGACACATGACACATCTTGGCTTTGCAAAAAGTGCTCAAGCTTCCGGATTCCAAACAGGTGGTAATCCTCGTGGACCGTAAACATCCCGCCGTGCCAGCAAAAATCCGTGATGAAACTGCACAGCTTTCAGCTCCTAATCGCCGAACTCAATGCTGCAAGGGGCAGTCCTTGTAGAGAACATGCTCAAATACGCGGTCCCATCGCACTCAGCCTTTGCAGCAAAATCGCCACTGACAGTCGGATCGCCAACTATTCAAAGGATGTGGGTTTACTCTGCTCTTGTAGAGCATGCCTTTGGATTTGTGGCAGGACCTGGGCTTGTGGCAGGCGTTTTCAGGACGTCTTTTTTCAGCTGGCATTTGTCAGGACGCAGCCAAGCAGGCGGAGTGGGTGGCAGCCAAGAAGAAGGCAAGTCTTCTTGTGGAAGCTGTGTTGAAGTATGGAGAGCTACGAAGACACCCTCCTCGTGACAGTTGGATCGTTTCTTTCTGTGGTTTTCGCTGCAGCTCCTATCCTATCTTCCTGTGCATCCTGAAGAGGCCCTCAAACCCTACCTCAACCCTGAATAACCTACTTTTTTAAGGACTTTTATAAGGAAATCATAATAAGGAACCCTAAAAACGTAGGTTATTCAGGGTTTACCGTGCTCAGTGGGGTGCTGGCATTCAGATGTAAAAAGGGTTAAGGTAAACCCTAAAGCCTCGACGTTTGCTTCGAAGCGAGGAGAAGACTGAGCGTGAGGAAGCCGGCGCCAATGGTCGCAGCCTCGGGCTCGGGGCAAGGAGCAACGAAGCACCAAACCCTAAGCGAAACCCTACAATGCTCACAAGCATGATACCTCTTTGTCCCGAATCAACCTCGCCTGTGGACATAGTGTCCTGCCATGCGAGAGGGATAAAAGGGCATGCGAGTCGCGCCAAGTGGGAGCCAAAGAAGCCAAACCCTTAAGACTGAGTCGCCGTTTCGAGTGTCGAGAGCTCTTTATAGGAAAAGCCTGAAAGCGACGTTGCCCCGAAGCTCCCAGGCTCAAAGGAGGCTGAGGTTGACCGCGGAACCGTGGAAGTCGAGGACCTCGCAGACTGGTTCAGGGCTGTAAAGCAGCAGCAGTGGCAGCAGGAGGAGTAGTAGTAGTCGCCGTCGTGGTCGTAGTCGTAGAAGTGTGCATGAGTAGGGACGGAAGTAATCACAGTCCGAGCAAGCATTGTCTATCGTGCTGGGACAGGGGCAGGTTGTCGCCAGTTTCACAGGACTCACGTATTGAAATACTCACAGGAACCTTGTTGGCACATATCGTAACACCGCTGGTGTTTGCATTGCTTCTCTCCCTCATGTCAGCAGCCCTTCGACTGCTCCGTTTGGCTCGAGATTGATTGTCCAGATTTCTGCCCGCAGGGCACCGGAGGCCAGGACAGATATCCTAGTATATGCTGCAATGTACTAATAAGCTCTATGCCTACTTTGTCTGGTTGTCACGGCTTCCACCATCGAAAAGAAGGACAGTCATGTACTAGTCACTAGTCCTAGAGGTAGAGTCTGAGATGCGCAGAAGTTCCCTTCCAGCCGTCCTTCCTCCCAAGTTTGCTCCACTTTCCTTAACGGCCCTTCACAGACTTCAACTCCCATGCACCGAACAGCCGTTCGAGGTTTCTGGATACTGGCCAGGGATTCGGATGCTGCGCAAGGAAGAATTGGGTCTAACTTTCCAGTAAACGAAGCCTCAGCGACCGCTCAAAACCCCAGCTGTGTTTCCGAAACTCGAGAACTATCAACACAGTGCTCTTACCCTTTGTGTGAGGATAGAGCTGCTATACCAACTGCCAGTGAAAAGCGTAGGAATACTGCTTGCTGTTACTTCTATTTGGGTCTGTCCGGGAGGACCACGTCTTTCAGAATTTGGCGCAGTGAGATCTGGCGTTTAGTTTTAAGGGTCGCCCGCAGCCTGTAAATCCAGCGTGCTTGGTGCAGGCACGCTATGGCCCAATGTAATGCTGGCAACAGAGTGCCTCATCTGGGTTCAGTCGCAGCGCGACTTCCGCAGAGCCCTTCCAATACTTGACATCGATTTCCTGTGGGTTGAAGTTCTTTAGGTGGTTTTGGGCTCGCGAGTTCTCGTTCGCCCACATATCAGATATCACGCGACAACTTGTTGGGAGCTGTACAGAGATCTTGTTCGTCCGTGCCCTGCGCAACATACGCCTCAGACCTGCTACGACCATCCTGACATTCGGGTGCCTGTGAGGATGTTGTGTAGTCCTGCAGGTAGAAAAGACCCAAACCTTCCAGCGGCAACTTGCAGATCACTTCAAAAAAGCACCAGCAAACCCCCGAAACCCCAAACCGAAACCGCAAGGTTGTACAGGCCACTGTGGTTCAGGGCAATTACCACCCGGGCGCTCCGGGCAATGGTGGTCCAGGCCTGGAGGGAGGAAACTCTGGGTGTCGAAACCTCGGTGGTTTTGGTTTGATCATCTGGGAGTTTCCGAAAACTAGGGGTACCTCATTTTGGTGTCCTCTGTAACGAGGATCCTACTATTGAGGGTACTATATTAGGGTTCCGTATTACGGAAACCCCATTTGGGGTCACGTATCATACTAGAACGGATCCTACTATCCAGGGCCATCTGGTGTGCACAGTCGGGCCAATATTTGTTGCAAGGACCCCTAGATATTGAGAGGCTACGAGATTTCAAGCTGAGGGAGCTCGCGCCCTGAATCCGGAACTTCGAAGCAGCGGATCGAAATCCAAGGAAGGAGCTGCAACGGATTAGAGTAGAAGCCAGAAAGTTGGAACATCATTATCCTCATGCCTTTTAGGTAAAGTATAAGGGATCCTAGCACGTCACTAGTGCTTCTGAACCCATGTTCCAACTTTCTGGCTTCTACTAAGGTCCAGCGGCTAGTCTAGCGGCTTCGTTCAGACTTGAAGACAGTGAACCCAGCGAGCCCAGTCACGACATCGGGTACTCTAGCGTGAGCCCGATTAAGCCTTCAACTCCGACTCCCTAAAGCCGAAACCTCCGGAAGCAGTCGAGAGAGGCGTCAAAACTTTTCAAAACAAAGTGTTAGCAACCACTGAAACAAGTTATGAAACCTGAAAGGATATGGGATCCAGATGGGCCAGCCCATTGGCACCACCCAGGCCTCTTGACCTTGGCTTCAGGGCCAGGTTCCGTCAGATCGGAGTGCCGGGTTCGGGTGGGGTTCGGGATGGTGCCCTAAGGCCCAGCGGCCCGGATGAGCCTACTATAGGGGCTTAAATAATTACCTATACGATTGTGGGGGTTCCTCATTATGATTACAGTATATATGATGGGCCCTTAAAGGCCCCTACATCACTCGGTCCCTGCTTCCTAGCCGAGGTAATCGGCCAGCCAATCTACGTGCAGCTGTGCCCGCACATGGGGTCTTCTTCTGGCGACGATTAGGTCAGCTCCTAGAGGCTTCGTCTACGGGTTTAGGGATGTTTAGCGTAGCCAAAGTAGTAGGACCATGTGTAATGCAGGGAAGGGACGAAGCACATTCTTCATCTCTGAACAGCTTAGCTTTGCTTTCGGAGCATAGCTGCGGAGCGAGGTTTCAGACTCACGACTTACTACTGCAAGCCCGGAGTTTTCTTCTTTGTTCTCTGCGCCTTGCATCTCGCGCAGGTATAGAAAACAAGGGGGCCAACATATGATGTCTTGGGTCATCTTTCTTGTCGAAGCCCGCTTGGAGCTAGCGAAGGTATGCGGTCTACAGATCCTGAAGCTGAGCCGTTCAGCCCTAGGGCAATAGGCAATAGTAGTGATCTAAACGCATTAGAAAAAAGGGCACCTGCAAACACAGGACCCATGACTGCAGTACTGCAGTCGTTTAAGCTTACCTTTGGTTAGTAGGGAATGGAGGAATGGGGTACAACTATAGCTACTATTACTACCAGTCTTCCATTCCCTACCAACCAAAGGCAAGTCTAAGGAATGATGGCCTTGGTCCTGGCTACGGTGGCTATGGCGGCTATGGCGGAGCCTGGGACGACCGACCTCCTACAGTAGACGAGCGAGGAGAGATCTTGTATGGACCATACTGTACCTACCCAGAGGCCCCAAAGTAGTTCCTTTTTGGGGTTAACCTATAGGATTCTATATATGAGCCCCAAAAAGGAACTACTTTGGGGCCTGTGGGTATTGGGGCTCCAAAAGCCCAAAGTAGGTAGAACTTATAGACTTTAGACCCCAAAGTAGGTCCTATTTGTATACTTGAAGCCCTGGGGATAGTCTCCATGGTAGTTCACTTTTTGGGTTTAGCTAGTTACATATGTAGGAAATTTAGGATCTTGTAACGTAACCCAACAAAGGAACTACAATGGAGACTCATGGGTACCTGACGAGTTTCGCGTATAGGTAGGGCAAGGGGTTAGGAATTTGCCATCCGAAACCTGTCCTGTATGAGTGTGATACACTCGTGCGTTACAGTAGCAGGCCAACGACCGGGTGGTACATGAAATTCTGTATGCTCTAGGTGCTTTCGTTCACATGACAAGAGAATTTCTCTTGCTTGCATATATTTGTGCCCCTTTTTCAGAATCCCAGCATGGAAAGCCGGACTTGCAACCCCTCATTCCTAAAGACCCTGAAACAGGAGCTGGCACCGGCTGGATGCTGCGGTTTGGATGGCAATAATTTGCATAGGGCTTCGTTTTCCGCTGTTTAGAGGGTGGAGTTGGGTCTCACAGAGAAGGTATACGTTTAGGAAAGTCTAGGGTTTAAGGGGGTTGGGGATGGGGGTAGCCTTGCTGCGGGATTTGGTTCTCCGTGAGGGGGCTGCGGCCCGGCAAAGAAAAACCGATGAGCACATTGTTGAATTGCGATGATCCGCCTGCCGAATCTGCAAGCAACCGAGGTACGCGATAGGCTGCTTCCTTTGCCTTTGCTTCGGCCCAGTTGGTCCGCTGTTTTGGTTTGTCGTCGCAGGCGCGGCAGGGAGGGATGCTGGATTCTGTCTGTGGCTTTGGGCTTGAGGCTTTAGTAAGCCGCATTAAAGTGGGATGATGGTGGCAAACCTTCTCTATAACCCCCTTGGTAAGGATTAAACGTGCGGAACACCTATGTAACACGCCGGGTTCAGAAAGCTCACATGCCCTCCTGGACTCGCAACCACGCATACTTAGAGGCGAGTACCTGGGCCCTGCGGTCCCCAAGTGGCTGACCTTAGGGTTTAGGGGTTTAGGGTTGGGTTAAGACTTCAAGAGGCCAGGATGCAAAAAAGGGTTTGGTTAAGAGCCCAGCGGCAAAGAGTTCAAGCCCAGCTGCAAAAGAAACGGGTTGAGTTCGTGAACGTCTTGGATCCTTTCCAAGGCATGCACTACTGCAAGCCGAAATCGGTGCGCGACAGCCTACCTCAAGAAGCACAGGTAGCCAGGCGCTGGAGGGGATTAGGGGAGACCGCTTATCAAGCATGTATTGGAGACTATGGAAGCTTCATAGGTCAAAAGTTGGCTCAGGAGTCCAGCCTACCTATCATTAGCACGTTCAGCCATACCACCTAGACATTGCCCAGCACGACTTAGCACCAAATAGCACAACGAAATACTCTAATTGGCGCTGTGCAGCACGAGTTCAACAGCATGTGGGTACTGTTCAACACTGCATAGAAGAACAGGTGCGCACACGGCAACATAGAACGACACATCCCGAAAGAGAGCGATCGAGCGATGGATATTCCAGTGTACACACACCCACATTCTTGCCCGCTCACCCGCGCAAAGCAACTGGATCGAGTAACGAAAATATTATGGGACTTTGCAGCTTTATTTTGCCCAGATGAGGCGCCGGGAACCGAGCCCGATGAACAAATCGATGCAGCCGCAGGATGTAGAACCCAGTAATGAATTTCGAAGCTGGGAACCCCTCCGTATTTGTTCTGCGTGACAATACGAGACATACTGACACAATAGCGACAGTTCTCACAGTCACCACACTCTGCTTTGATACTCCTTTTGCAATTTGGGACCCTTATGCAGCCCCAAGTTCCCCAATCCCAGAAGTCTGAAGAGCTTTTGCGCCCTGCAGGGTGTCCCTAATGACCGCAGCCACCGCCTGAGCTGTTCAGCATGTGTTGTGGATCTTTTAGGTGTTGAGGGCTTCGCTCGTTTCAGGCCTCAGATGCATTGTCCAATCCTAGGTCCCCGGTGATATCCAGGCTTACTGCACAAGGTTTTCGTTGCTACACTGCTTAGACCCCATTATCAACTTAGCCGGGATCGCAGACACTGCCCACCGGAGTTCATTCGACCCATGTCGGCACGGACCTTCAGCCGTCCAGCGTTTTGGAGTTTACTTCACATCGTCTTTCTATGACAGCTTCAAGAGGAGTAGGGCACTGACCTCTCAGTGAACGGGACATCGGCAGGTTGCACACAGCTTCATCGTCCTGTCGCTGTCGGGCTATTGGGGAGAGCTCAGAAGATAGGATGAGGGCAATGGGGCTCCAGATAGTTAATGCATGTTAGAAGCACTAACCTGTGTTGTCGTTCCTTTCTAGCCATACTAAGCTGCAACCCAAAACCCTATTCTTAAGGTCAGTAAGTTACTTATCCGGTCGGCTGCACTAACTTCCTCATCCACAGCAAAAACCGCAAAGGCCAAAGGGGAATAAAACGACTCTGTGGTTGCACGTCCCTTGCACTGTGACCGACTCGGTACTGCTGCCAGCATCCAAGCATGGCTCTCCCGTCGCACACCGCGAGAAGTGTGATACAGGGGCTTAAATAATCATTACCATGTTTATTCCTCGGGTTCCTTATTGTAGGTGTAGTATAATGCGCCACCCCAGAAGCCTCTTCTAATTTGCAAGGCCCCTACATTACTGCTAAGGTCGGATCGACGATTGGCCTTGGGATCCTCATTTTCCTGCTTGTGACGGTGGTGGCGCCCAACTCCTCGCTATACAGGGTGGGCTTGGCATGGTCTTAGCTGTCTGCAGTTGACTTGTATGTACGTAGAGGAGGATGGGCATACAGGAAGATGCATGTCACAAGTGATCCGGCGAGATGTTTGCATGGCAATGTGTCTAGGCATCCCCCTTCACATGCCTTGCCTGGGCGTCCGAGGTAGTCCTCTGCCATCAACCGAATGTAGGGGCTATAAATATATAAGTATAGTATAATCAACCCCAAAACTCTATTCTAACCATTACGGCGCCGATATTATAGTACCCTTATACTAACCCTTTGAAGGAACCCCTATTCTAACTAGTAAGGCCCCTATATCAGACTACCCTTATAGTAACCCTTATAGAACCCCCTTGAAGGAACCCCTAGTCTAAGTATACAAGGCCCCGGTATTAGACCACCCTTATAGTAACCCTTTGAAGGAACCCCTATTGTAACTATCAAAGGTCCCTATATTAGACTATCCTTATAGTAACCCTTATAGACCCCCCTTGAAGGGACCCTTATTCTAAAGGAGCTTTAATAGTTAGAATAAGCGTTCCTGTAAAGGGGGCTCTATAAGTGTTGCTAAAACGGCAGTCTAATATAGGGGAATTATATTGTTAGAATCGGTGTTCCTTCAAGGGGGGTCTATATGTGCCGTTCTCGACCCCCCCCCCCCCCCCCCCCCAATGGTATCCCCCCCCCCCCCGACCCGGGCGACCACACAACAAGAACAAGAACAAGAACAAGAAGAAGAACAGCAGCAACAACAAAGCAGCAGCAACCACGCGGAGGAACCACAGGAACCACAGGGGGGGAGGGGGGAGACAGGAACCAGAAGAACCACAAAAGGAAGGGGGAAAACCAAGAGGAACCACAGGGGGGGGGGGAACCACAGGGGGGGGGGAGGGGGATTACCATGGGGGGGGGAGGGGGGGGGGGGGGCGCGGATGCTGGCACATATAAGGGTTACTATAAGGGTAGTCTAATATAGTGGCCTTATATAGTTAGAATAGGGGTTCCTTCAAGGGCGGTCTATAAGGGTTACTATAAGGGTAGTCTGATATAGGGGCCTTATGTATTTAGCAAGGGGGGTCTATAAGGGTTACTATAAGGGTAGTCTAATATAGTGGCCTTATATAGTTAGAATAGGGGTTCCTTCAAGGGCGGTCTATAAGGGTTACTATAAGGGTAGTCTGATATAGGGGCCTTATGTATTTAGCAAGGGGGGTCTATAAGGGTTACTATAAGGGTAGTCTAATATAGTGGCCTTATATAGTTAGAATAGGGGTTCCTTCAAGGGCGGTCTATAAGGGTTACTATAAGGGTAGTCTGATATAGGGGCCTTATGTATTTAGCAAGGGGGGTCTATAAGGGTTACTATAAGGGTAGTCTAATATAGTGGCCTTATATAGTTAGAATAGGGGTTCCTTCAAGGGCGGTCTATAAGGGTTACTATAAGGGTAATCTAATTCCTCACCTCCGCAAGCCGCGTGCCTGCCAGGGCCCCTTCGCCTGTGAGGCTTTGCTCGGGGAGCCTTGGGGGGGATGCAGGGTTTTAGGGTTCAGGGTTTAGGGGCTGTAGTTGTTTAGGGTTTAGTGGTTTTAGGGTTTTAGGGGCTTAGGCCTGGATGCAAGCCGGGCTTAGGGTGTAAAAGGGTTTAGCTTTGCACGTAAACGGAGCAGGGGGATGGATGTCGGTTCTGTTGCAAGAACGCTGCTCCCCAGACCACCTTTGGTTCTGGTCTTGTGCGTGTGAGCCGCAGACTTGACAGCGGGACGCTTTTCGGAGCGAAGATCCTCACCTCGCATGGCAGAAACTAGAATCATGAATTTCGACAATCTGACTACAATGAACCGGAAAATTACACCATTTTTCATAGAGTATAATTATAAATGCCTCAGCTTGTGGGGCAGAACATGCAAGCCTCGGCTCTTGTGGGAGGCGCCGTGCTCGGGCTGGACGAGCAGTAGCTCTCCGGCAGACGTCGAGGCCAACGAACGGAGAGCGAGGTGTTTGGTCTGGGGCTGGGTCAGGATATGGGAGTTTCCGAAAGTACTGGAGGGACCCTACAAATAGCACCTGAAATAGATCTAGATGGAAGGATCTTTACTTTAATTAGAAGGACCCCAAAATTAGGTACCCCCTTAATTTTTAGAAGCTCCAATGTCAGGGTGTTTATTCCGCCTCGCAGCTGCAGGTAGTGCAGGGCTCGGGCTGTAGCATCACACAGCCTTTCTGCTTTTGGAGGGTCGATCGGAGTGTTGCAAGGTGCAGGCCCTGAGTCATGACAAACACGATGCCCACTATTCCAACCCAGGCCTCGGACTGATATTCCCTTTAAAGGAACCCTTGTAGAACCCAAAAATTATAGTACCTTTACAAATCCCTTGTAAGATTTCGACGATTGTGTGTTGCATCCTAATCGTCTGTCTCTTGTCACGGCAAGGTCTGCCAAAACATCTTCTCAAGAAGATGTGCGCGGCCGGACGCTCGCGGCTGTTTAAGAGAAGAGTCTCGCTGCAGGCCAGTGCCGTCTTGATGCACCCGCCGAAGTATTGAGACGCGGTTTCATGAGTTTCCCCAAGGTGGTGGTTGTAGGATCCCCCAAACAGAACCCTTGGCCCATTGTGATTCCGAGAGAGCGCAGCAGTTCATGTTTCGACTCTAACATCTGCCTCTCACACCATGCCAGGCTCAGGGTTCTCAAGATCAGATCGAAAGTCACAAGCTTCAACCCCAAAGTTGCGAAGCTTGCGTGACATGTTTGACTTCGAGAGTATTCAATAAAGCTCCACAAGCCAAGTTCTGACTCATTCGTATCATTCATCGTATTCTTCGCATCATTAGCATCATCCGTTTTCTTTAGCATGATATGCCAGGAAGGCCCAAAGCTGACAATGTTGCAAGTGTGCCCGACCCGAGTTTCTGGTCAAGGCAGGTGGCGACCACTGAGAGTTGCCCCCAGACTCTTGGGCTTTCTTGAGCGGTTTATTGTTTGATTAGGGTTCCTTTAAAGGGATCTCTAAGGGTACTTTTGTTTAAGGCTTTGGGTGAGTATGGTGCGCGAACATGCTTTCGAATAGGAGGTGTTCGGGTACAGACAGACTATTCGTGCGTTGCTTGGCGTAGCTATGTGTCGTTGCATGGTACATGTATGCGTTAAGGCCAGATCGCCAGCAGGGTTTGAACGGGGCTTGGATACTGTCGGAATTTCAAGTGCAACGAAATCAACAACACCCAACATCTGCTTCAACTTGCTGTGCTGCTGCTGTAAGCACTCCGACGACGAGAGTGATCTCACGACGACTCTTCTCACACTGCTCGATGGGAGATTTGCAGTTTGTCATTTAGGAGTTAGAACGCACCAAACGGTTTTGCAAGTTGTAATGGCTTAAACTTTTGGAATGGCCACAATTACAGTTAGGATGGAGATGATCAAGATGCCGTTGGTTTCGACGCCGGTGACAAACAGAGATCGATGACCGCAATGAAAATGATGGCGACCATATTGATGAGGATGTTCATGACGGTGGTGATGATGATGGTGTGGAGAATAGCAGCCGAGACAACCCATCCAACCAGTCATGTGTAAAACTAGTCGAGCCCTTGCAAATTAGGAGGCAAAAAAAGCAAAGTATGTTGACGAAGCTTACGAAGATAGTGTTATTGTAATGATGTTGGTGATGAGAGCCACCGCAACACTGATGGTGGGGATGATGAGGACAATGATGATCGTGGTGGAGAGGGTGATGGCGATGCTGACCTTCTTGCCGTAGTTCCTGATGGCGATTCCGCTGATGCCAGTTGTGCCGTGTTTTTCCGTCTCACCTGCAGCTAATTAACCGAGGAGCTGCGACACCTTCTCCGGGTTTGCTTCAAGGATGGACGAGTTCGCCCCACGGTTTGAAAGGAACTGCGCGATGCGCATTTTGTACTACTGGCCTGACCATCATTTCTACATGATGCTGCTGCTGCGCGCTGATGCCTTCTCCTTTCACTGCGGCTACTCACTACTAACTACTACTCCGGGTACCTCTTCTGCTGGCACTCGGACTTACAATCACATCAGCAACGACTTTCATGTAATTCTGCTACTGCGTGATGTGTTGAGAGTGCCTGGCATCCAGGCCTTTGAGGGTCTTGAATTCCGGGGTTCCTGATGTTTCGGTCGTTCGAAGATTGAGCCGCACGTTTGTTCAATGTGATGGTCCTTCAGTTTCTAATCCTCTCCCTTATCCAGACCACTCGGATCCACTAGGGAGGGATGCTTAGCTTCAGGGCCTCTCACGTCCGACCAGCCCTCTACATAGAAATCGGCGACCCGATGCCAGACTGTTTTGCAACATCCGAGACTTAGGGCATTGCTCACCGACTATAAGTTTACTTGACGCGACAGAAGCTCTATCCGACACTTCCGAAGCCATCTTGTGCTTGTTAAGCACCTGACTTTGAGAACCCTTGCGCTTGATACGCGTCCCAGCTTTGTGGGGCTGTCGGCTTCCGGATTTGAAAGCCGAAGTTACTTGAGATCCAAGGTCTGTTTCGACAACGCTACCCGCGTGTGTAGTGAGAGCATGCAATCGTCATGCCAATCCAACTTAGAGAGATGTCGACCTCTTTCTTGATAACCCCTTTCTAGTCTATAGCCCCGTGTTGATTGGTGGTATCACAACAAATGCATTCAGGATGCCGGCGTCTCTCCAAAGCAATCCCCACCAGAAAGGCCTAAGCCACTGATACGGCCCTACACCATTCCCATGTCCCGGCATGAAGTCGACGCACCGCAAAACGCCATGGCCAAGCCTTGGTGTTTTAATAGTCTTCGGGCGTTGGAAGCGGGAATCGGCGAAGCAGAGCGGGAAGTAGGACATGAACATACACTCAAAGTCCGTGCTTAAAAAAGGACATGAAGCCGAATGTTCATAGGAACCCTAAAGAGAAGCCCAAAGAGCTTAGAGTTCGAACTTGGATCATCGCTCGCTGCACTCGCCAGCGGCATTTTCGCAGTGGTCCGGCTGAGCCTGTTGCTGCCAACGGGGGCTGCTATGTAGGAGGCTGTATGTATATTTGACTACAGTTATTGTGAGGAACCTTCAGGAACAGTATTTGTAACCATTCTAGTACTTTGCGGGGCACCCAACATTAGTTCATGGGTTGATGCGGCTTATGAAGGTCTCCGGCTGCATGAGGTTACAACCTTTTGGAGGTCTTGAGGGTTGGGGAGCATACTGGCAGCAGCAATGACTTTGACCTTTCTTCCTGCGCCCATTCGTCGTCCTTCGTATACCTGGGGATACCGCATAAGTGCGATCATCACGCAAGCAGTGCAAGGGAGCCGACGAAGCCCCTAAACCCCACCGAAAGCTTTAAACCCCAATACGAAACTTATCAGCAATGCAGGAGATGCAAAACTTCCGAAGCAGCAGACAGCCGGACGAGTCTAAGAGTCTGCCTGAGGCAGGCTCATGACATTTTCTAGGTTCCGAGTGGAACAGTGTTGGGGTGAGGATTTAGGTTTTTCATGGTTAAAGTCAGGCTCAAGGAATGGATCCAAAGCTGACATGCTGTTCAGGTTAGTCCAGGGCTTGGTCAACAGAAATGTTCAACCAAACAGCTAGGTTTCCAACCCAAGCTCCTTGAAGGACTCTTTAAACAAACATAGATCGGCTCTCAGAAGCTCCGTCTTGGGAGCTCTGAAAGAGCCCCACGAGAGGACCCTGCATCAAACCTACCAGAAAAAGCACATTGCAGCACAGGGTCCTCTGTGAACGAAGAGAGTGTACAGCCGGCGTTTCATGGATGTCTACCCGGCTGGGTGCTTTCGGAAGCTGATGCGCGCTCAGACTCTTGGACCGAGCTGAAACTAAGCTGGAAACAAGGCCCCGTGCTTGCCCAAGGTGTTGCGGTTCTGAGATGTGTGTTGCAGCCAGCCAGCCTCTCGAACACAGCTCCCCAAACCCTAAACCTTAAGAGAATCCCGTCAGGCAATGTATCACACCGACTGTGCACCCAAGAACCTTGCCTGGCTGAGTCCGAGTTGTGAGAGCGTAAACCCTTTAAGGTTCCTAAGGGCATTTCCTGAGCCGAGAGGTCTATTTCAAGCCCTGTCGTACTTGCTTTCGCCGGGCAGCTTGAGCAGATCCATTGTTATGATTCTAGATGGGCCCCAAAACCCTATTCTAATTATGAAAGCCCCGATTTTGGATTCCTGGAACCGCCTTGGCACGACCTCCCTTTACTCTGTCGTAATGCCCCACGCAATAGTTGCCCAAACAAATTCATGCTGAAACCGACTCTCAGAAAGCCGAAAGCTACGGTCATGGGATGGTAGCCCCATTCCCACATTTGCAAAACCCAAGCGAAGTTCGACCCCAGGCGATGCGGCCATATAGCATATACTTTGGACTTTAGCCCTTATAACTTCTTTTCTAGCGGCGTCTTACTACTTTACAGAAAGTATTTCTATATTTGGGTACATGGACAGTTAGGGCACTCTGCAAGGAGGTCCTCGACAGCTACATCCCAAGCGAAGGAGAGGATGTTGAAGAAGGCCCATGAGCTATCGAGGGAAGAATTTTTCATGCCGCCCAAACAGTTTCCAGCCAGATTGCTGCGACTGTCCAGCCTACTACCCGAAACTCCTAAACCCTACTGTGCCATGTTCTCACCATCATGCACTTTGTTCGTATTGTCCGAGGCGTCGAGGCGTTGACAGCGCCCTCCGAAGTTTCCCAGCGGGCACTGAGAACGCATGGGGTTGGGGACTTTCGGGTTGAGCTTGGAGCTACGGGCTTCGAAACTCTTCATATTACAGCTTCTTGTTTGTGCATCTCCATTTTCAGTATGAGCTCATGAGCCATGCAATGGATGGAGGAAGCAGAGCTCAGTTCGAGCCGTTGGTTCAGATTTCGAGTGGTGATGTAAAGCTGTAGAAGATGCAGAAGTGATGCCTATCATACCGTGGTGTTGCATGGTGAAGCAAGAACGGGCAGCCTTGGGCTGGAAAGGTTGCTTTGTCATGACTATTTTGGGGATGACTGCCAGGACCAAGAACATGCTTTGAAGTGATGTCGGCCAGAGACATCACAAGTTTCAGTTCACTGTAAGTGAGGGGGTCTGCTCGTATTTCGTCTTCTGCTTTTGCATCACAGCAATCGACAAAACCTTGCTGCGAGGCTTGTGCATCGACAGAACCTCCGAGGCCACGGAACGCAGGGGCAGTGGGTGGAGGGCGCTCCATGTCGCGATTGAGTACTGTTCCCTATACAGTGCTTACGTGCATCCTACCGGTCGCGAATTAAGATTCTCGTGCTTTTGCAGGCGCAACCGCTGGGGTTTGCGACGAGCGCACGGGACACTCGGCTTCACCAAAGCCTCTTCCAGTGGCACACGAGCCAAGATTGAGCCGAAGGCTTGGGTGTCATTCTATGGACCGCTTAGATTGACCGAGGCGGTCATAGGACCAAAGGTCACAAGATCATCAGGGTCGCGCCATCAGATGATGTGGTTTGAACACATGTTGAGTTGAGGTAGCCGTGTGCAGATGAGCTTCGAACCGACTGAGTGGCGAGTTCCAGCTTCACCAGGTGCATCCATTGAGAGCGGTTAGGCACACGTTCGTTTCTTGTTTCCTTTGCAAAAATATGATAATGAGGGCTTTCGAGGAGCTAGCAGCCCTAGCGCCTGCATCGGACCCCGTTCCAGCCGAAGATGCTCTTGGCTGGACGGAACAAAGCCTAGCACGGAGCTGGTGGACTTCAAAACTGAAACGTTCATCTGTTGTTCCAGCCCGAGAGCAAGCCAGCAGAATTTTCGGCAACTAAGTTGCTTGTAGGAAGTCGTGCCTAGCAGTGGCAACGCCGTCCGGGGTTCGTTTTCTCTGGAAGGAACTCGTACTGGAGGGATCGCCAGATCAGCAGGGTGTATCCGGAACCGCATCACAGGAGATAGACTAGTTAGACAGTCAGACGATATTCCCACGTTTTTTCGCTTGGAATGGAAGGGCAGTGCTCTCCGTCAGCTGGCCCACTTTGGAAGCACCTACATGTATTCTCCAAGTAGATGAAGAGCACATAATCTAAACCTGGATTGTCCGAGTGTGAGCGCCGAAACCCTATAGTTAAACCCTGAAGAATGCTACGCATTCACGATGCTGCAATGTTTGTTGATCTACTTGAGGAGTGCCGTCCTGCCTTCCGCATGTACAACCAGATAACCCCAAGCCCTAACCCTTAACCCTGTCACCTTTACCCGCTAAAGCCATTCGCTGTGCATTCTCGGCTTCGCAGACTGCTCGACACGTACACAACACGGTGCCGCCCCTGGCCACACTATTTGGAACAGAGGTGTGCTCCCAGCTATGTACAGGATGTCTGGTGACTCGGCAGAGACATATCTATTTATGGCATTATTGAGTTATATACTATACGTGGAGTCAAAACGTGTACAACATGGTTCGTTGTATCATAGATGTTATATATATACATATATATATATATATACACACACGCTATATCTTCGAAAATTAAACATGCACATGCTACGGGCGTATGTCTATGTTTTACACGTGGTGTCATCTCTGTCTCTCTGAATCTCTATGTATGTACATAATGGATGTAGGTGTGTGCTGTGTCGACAAGACTATACAAGGTCTCATTGCTTAGAATTAGATGCCAACGCATTCAGCTATACTGATTGCTATGCAAAACCCAGAGATAACAGTGGTTTCGGATGTCAGTCATGCGAATGCATATAATCATGTCTGCAGACACAAACTGCTGTCAGCCATCAACATGACCGCAGCGCGTGTCTCTGGATGCTGCTTCGTGCGATTTGCACACAGGGCTGTTAGTGTTTCTGGAAAGTGCAAGCATGCGTCGACACTATTTCACTATTTTTTAAGAAATGAAGATGTCAGACGCGGGTCACCAGGTCGCCAGCTTGCTATGCGCGATAGTGGAGCTTGTACAGCTTCCCGCCCCGGCATCCAAAATTGTTGACCTTCGACTTTTTGGCTCTCCTGTCTCTTCCCCTCAGTTCAGCGAGCCGTAGCCTGGAGAGAACTGTATTCTTGCCCAGCGGTGTGCCGTTAGCTTTCCTTTCTACGAGAAAGAATGCCTTAGGTAATGCTTGGTAAACACAGAAGAAGTCGCATGTGTCACTGATGCATATGAAAGATGACAGACGGCATGGCATCCCAGAAATTGTGCTTTCCGGACGCAGGCATTGGTCTCGGTCGCACGGAGGATGCATCGGACTGATCTGCGGGCATCCCAGTACTCGCAACATGTCAACCCAGTTTGTGTCACTCTTGCGACCAAGTTTCCTCTATTTCTCGTCATGTCTTCATGCACGGGTGGTCGGTTTCGGTACCCTGCAATGAGCAAGTTTAGCTTTTACTTCGCCTGTAGGCTTAAATTCTGCGGTTCCCTGTCGAAGAAGTCAATAGACAATCCGTCGAAGCTTCGCGGCTTGAGGTTGCCCCCGGCTGGAGCTCTGTGCGGGCCCCGGAACAGAGAAAGCGTGCTGGGTTAAGAGAAGACAGTGGTGTGGTGATTGCGGATGCCCGGAGGCAGCGGCTGATCGCAATATTTCAATCTTGGCCTTGTAGTTGGCTTTGTTGTAT